TCTTATTATCTGTCTCTAACAGCCTCCAGATCTTGATACTGGGAGGGAATGACATGACATTTGTTCAGCTAGGTTCTCTCATCTAGGACATACCCTTCCCTGCCACCGCATAGGTGGGACATCAGGAGTTTTTCTGCCAGGTTGAAAACTAACAGACCCATAGCATGCAGCCATGCCCAAATGCCAGGACCAGGAGCCAGACTCCTAGTTGATCCCTTCAAACCTAGTGCTTGGCAGAGGCATAACTGGCTTTGGTCAATCTTTAGTCCTTCTGCTTGCCCAGCCTGGTTCTCCACCCTCATGGAGAACCCACTTAGGATGGGGCGAGGTTTGTAGTAAGTGCTCCTGATAGTCCCAAGTGTCCCATTACTTGGGGGCAGACAAAAAGGGGCCTTCATGCAGGAAGCCAAGGGAAACACCATCCAGTCTTTCTGCTTATGGTCTCTTGAGCATCCTTAGGCTGATTCCCTCTCTTCCCTGGGCTTCAGCTCAAGTTCTCTGTTTTAAATCCACAGCAGGAGGAGGGGGGAAAGGCAGGGGTCTCTGTATTAATTCTATGCTAATGGATTCCTGAAAGATCCAAGAGAGGAAGAATTAAACTCGTAAAGAATTAAAGGGGGCAGCTAGGTGGTGCATTGGATAGAGCACTGGCCCTGGAGTCAAGAGGACATGAGTTCAAATCCAGCCTCAGACCAGATACTTGACACTAGCTGTGTGACCCTGGGCAAGTCATTTAACCCCAATTGCCTCAAAAAAAAAAGAGTTAAAGGATTGATCCAACCCTCAACCAAGCCACGAATAATAATAATAATAAAATATTTAGTACCTATATAGCTCTTTACATGAGCACTTTACACACATTGTTTCATTTGATCTTCACAACAGCCCTGAGATAGGTGCTATTATTATGCCCATTTTACAGATGAGGGAACTGAGGCAGGCAGCAGTTAAGTGGCTTGACCAGGGTCACACAGCCAGGAAGTGTCTGAGGCTGGATTTGAACTCAGGTCTTCCTGACTCTAGGCCCATCGCTCTGTCCACTAGTATGCCATTCAGTATACAGTATCCCTGCTTAACAAGTGAACCCAGACTGAATATGAAAGCCTTCAGAGAGAAGGAAACATCTGCCCCCTGGAGCAGTTCATTCCACTTTTGGGCAGCTCTGATAATTCTAAGGAGTCCTTCATGAGGTTGAACTGAAATCTGCCTTCCTCCAACTGCAATCTATAAAGGCTGGTCCTCCCATCTGAAGCTCAGCTGAATAATCCTATCCCTCTTCTATGTGATCACTGTTCAGGTATCTGAAGACAGATTCCATATAGAATCAGAGACCTAGAGTTAGAGAGGACCTCAGAGGATGCCTAATCCAACCCTCCCCTCCCAGCCTGGCTGCCATTTTTTCAAATAAAGAAGCTCAAGATCAAGGAGGTTCAACACCTTAAGCAGCAGAGATGAGATGTGGACATAGGTCCTTTAAGTCTTTCCATGGACCAGCTACCAAAGGCCAAGCTCAGGGGAGCACTCCTATAATCCTTACCGCTGGGGGAGGTTGAAGCTGGTGGATCACCTCAGCTCAGGAATTCTGAGTTGTAACAGGGCTAGGGTCAAAGAGGTGTCTGACCTAAGTCTGGCACCGATATGAGGAGCCCCCAGCAGTAAAGGAGTCACCCAGCTGGCTGAGGAGGGGCAAACACGCCCAGGTCTGAAGTGGAGGGAGTCAAAATGTCCATGTCCATCAGGAGTGGAATCAAGTCCATCAGTGACTGCTGTACTTTTAGCCTGGGTGAGATAGAAAGACCCAGTTTAAAAAAAAAAAAAAAGATATCAGCTACCATATCTTAAGCCTTCTGTTCTCCAGGTTAAACTTTCACAGTTCCTTCAATTAATTCCATTTTGAATGGCCCTTACCATCCCAACTACCCTCCTATGGACACACCCCATTTGGTCAGTTTTGCTCTTGTATACTCATCCCCATCCCAACCAGAGTCTGTAGAGAGGGACAGCTAGGTGGCACAGAGGATAGAATGTGCTGAGCCTGGAGTCAGGAAGATCTGAGTTCAAATCTAGCCTCAGACACTTCCTAGCTGGGTGACCCTGGGCAAGT